ATTCAAATCTTTACATATGCAGACATTTTTTTTAAAGGAGAAGCATTTTTTTTTAACTTCATAAAAAATAAAAAGCGTAACTAAAGGCCCCTCCCAACATTGGGTCCAGGGCGGGTGCCCATCCCGCGCGCCCCTCTTGACCGCCCTGATACCTGGGTGTACTCATAAATCAAAATTATTGGGCAATATGTTTAAAAGCTTCTGACACTACTAGACTTATAGTTTTCATCTCCTACAAAACTCTTCTAAAATGTGTTCTTTTGTTCAAGTTCATTGAAAGTTATATATTTGAGTGCTCAAATATATTTGTCACAATCTATTATGTCTTGGTAACTTGACGTTTCAACGCTCTTAGCATTCTCGGGATAAAACAAATCTGTTTTAAAGAAATTGTGAGTATTGCACGCCTTCGATTGATATGTGAAGTACCGTGACTAGATTTATTGAAAAATATTTCATATTAAATCTTCCCTAAATGAACAAACAATTTGTCGTCAAGGACTTCTAAACTCACAATATGAGGCTCGGTGTGAACATGAATAATATGCTATTAGCAAATAATCGTTATTTGATGTTTATTAAATAGTATTGGTGTGAACACAAACAATATGTTATTGACAAATAACTGTTATTTTATATTTTAAATAACCTTGGTGTGAACATGAACGATATGCTATTGACAAATAATCATCATTTAAATTTGTAAATAATACTCCGTAGTTATTTGGTGATGGTATTCTAAAGTAGTTCATTTTACCTATGCCTTTCAATTAATAGGTTTTCCACTTCAACCTCTCCACTACCAAAACAACCATGAACTACCCTTGATTTTGAAAAACTACTACACTATGCCTTACACTACGGTTGAGGACTTGGGGTTAATCAATTGTGAACGTTAATAGTTATATCATGCTCTCCGTTATACTACTATTATTTTCACATAATCATTTGACAATATAAAATGATCTATCATATAAATTAATTATTTTCGAATTAAATTTTCATTTTATTTGATTGCATAGTTGACTGATAATGTTTTGTCAATCATGTTTAGAAAAAAAAAAAATCATTTATGACCACCAATGGTTATACATCCCATGGGTTTGTACTAGGGGAATAAGCTAGATGGTTAACCCACTACATTTTATAACTACTAGAGAAAGTAGTTGAAATTTTTAGTCACTTTTAATTGGTGGTAGGTAATATTGACAAAGAATTTTATAGATTTATAAATTTGTATAAAAATTGAGTTTTTTAATCACATTTGGATGGTTGAAAAATACAAAATTTATAGCAATGCAATGATATGTGTGACTCCAAAAAATGAACAAGCCGGATGTTTAAGAATTACATGACTAAAAAGCGAATAAAAATGTTAGCACAAGTAATAGAAGTGGTCATATGCATATATAATTACACTACTCTAATTTCTTTGTTAGTGTTAATTAAAAATTGACAATCGTCATTTCGAATTTGGTGCATTATTGATATGAGTTTGGTCAAAGTATATTTAGATTCTATTTTTTTATGAGATGAATTTTGTATATTTATATACTCAAAATATATAATATGTAAATAATAAATTGATTCTCAAAATATACTCATAAGTTGAGAAAATGGAGTTTGAAAAGGCTCTGTAAGAATATTGTCTCACATTAAAAAAAAAATGTAGTTTGATGAATTATTTACAAATAACAAAATTCATACAACATTGATATATTTAGTTATTGTAGTACTCCGTATCATTGTTTATTAATTTAATTGTACTGATTGTTGGATTAGATAGTAAACATGTACAATTTCATTGTGTAAGATTTATCAGGTGAATTTAAAGAACTCAACCGAGAAGTCGTTGTTGGGTGATTAATTAAATGTTACAAGTAAAATGTTTGTCGGCATAGTTAAGAAAATTCAAGGAGACACAATTGCTGTTAAAATTTGCAATTGTATTAATAATTGGTTATTAATTGTCCCCCATGGTTATATTAGTAATATTGGAAAAGTGGTTTAAAATTGGTGTTTATTCTTAGTTTTTTTTTTTTTTTTTTTTTTTGTGTGGTTTTATCGTAACAAATCATCCCTTTTTTAGGGCACAATGATGATGTTGAATATGTCAAACTTAAAGTTAAATGTACTCTCTAGTCTCTAATCACTACCCAAATACCCAATGTAAGGACAAACCATAGGGCCATATTGAAACTAGTAACAGACTTTAAGGACCAAATATGCAATTTTTCTCCAATAGTTTTAGCAGAAAAAATAATAAAAAAAGGAACAAATAAATCCTTCTTAATCATAGCCTGGTATCCTGAGCATCTGCGAGTCGAGATTCGAGAAGACCGTGAAACCCTAACAAACACAGTTCGAAGATACAAATCCAAAGAAGCTAAGCGGAGATCAGCTCAAGACGACAAGGATGTTGAGAATAGCGAGCCGGAGGTTGTCGGGTCTGTCATCATGGTCTTGGATGTCAGCTGCTCAGACCTCCCCGTCCGTCGTATCCAGAAACCCTCTCGCCGTTTCCGGTGATTCGTCCGATGGAACTTTTACCCGATCGGTTTCTCCTTCGCTCGGTTTTATGTATCTCGATCAAATGAGAGGTTTGATAAATTCTCTCTTTTTTTTGTTCTCTCTATTTACCCTGCCGATCCTTCATTTTGCCATTTTGGCTTTCGTTGTTGTTGCTGATCCTATTGATGCATTTAGTTGATTATTCTGCCTCTTTTGAGAATTTATTCTATTTGCGTATAAATTGCTGGACGTATTAAAGGAACGGTTTTTAAGATTGAAGCGTAATAATTGGAGCTGGAAAAGAGATATTAATCAGTAGGTTAAATATGTTAGGCACTCATATTACATAAAAGGAGGATTGATTTTTGAAGGGGGAAATTGTATCCAGTTACATTCAATTCTTTTTGTATCATCATTAAAGTCCATTCCAGTTTTCTTGGAGTCACATGTCCATGTTTTTTGGAGGTACCTAATTGTCTTATACTCTCGTGTTTAAAAATTGGTGATGGTTTCATATACTTGCTGGTAAAAAATTTTGTTGGAAAGCATAGTTTCAGTTATTTAAGGTGCAAGGTTAGGCTTGATTCAAATGATCTTGTAATAATACATCATTATCTGTGTACTATTGTATGGTATTGTGGTTATAATTATGCATAATTTAGTGTCCAAAATTGGGAACTAAACACCACTAGTGCAGAGAGAACTTATTTAGATGAAGAGGCTGAAAGGATGTATTTTTGTGAAGCTTTTCTGTGTTATATTTTGCATTGCCTCAGGTGATTGTGCAATCTAAATATATAATAGTAGTATATGGATCAAGCAATTATGTAAATATTGTCTTGCTGTGCTAACTGCAATTACTGACCTTCCTGGAAAGTGTAAAAGGATCTGTAGCTACTATTTATTGTTTGCTGTTAGACCGATTTTGCTAAACTAGACTGAAAAAGTATTTGATTGTCAAATCATTCGATGTCATCTGATGAATAGTAGCAAACATTAACACATGGCAATGTTAGTGGATGGGTTCTTTTGATAATTTAATTAGTAGTCCTATACAATAATGGCACTTGAAAAATAACATGTAAAATGTTGAAATTGCATTTGTTCATCAACTTCAGGCTTTGTATGGTCACTTTTTTCACCATTTAATCAGCGGGCCATCATTAATTGGAGTCTGAATATGCATTATACATCAAACAGATGTAAAATGTTTAGTTGCTGAGGCAGAACAAGACCAAGATTACTTGGTTATTACTCTGTATTTTTTCTGCCCTATTTCTATTAAATTCAGATATTGCAGTTTAAGGCTTTAAGCTTTTGATCTAGTTAGATTGTATTAGTACTAGTTATTTGCATTCAGTAACAGTTTTGACATTGTGCAACTACTCTAGGGTTTTCATCTGGTCCTCTGACCCCTGCAAAAGAGAGTTCTTCAGATCTTCCACCAACATTGGCTGCAATCAAGAATCCGAGCTCAAAAATTGTCTATGATGAGCACAACCATGAGCGCTATCCACCTGGTGACCCCAGCAAGCGTGCATTTGCTTACTTTGTTCTGACTGGAGGCAGGTTTGTGTACGCCTCATTGGTCCGCCTCTTGATACTCAAATTTGTTTTGAGCATGTCTGCCAGTAAGGATGTCCTTGCCCTGGCCTCCATTGAGGTTGATTTGTCAAGTATTGAACCTGGGACGACTGTTACAGTCAAGTGGCGTGGGAAGCCTGTGTTCATCAGGCGTCGAACTGAGGATGACATCAAAACTGCTAACGGTGTTGATGTTGGTTCGCTTCGTGACCCACAGCAAGATGCAGAGAGAGTTAAGAACCCTGAGTGGCTTATTGTGATCGGAGTCTGCACACATCTAGGGTGCATTCCCTTACCAAATGCCGGAGATTTTGGTGGCTGGTTTTGCCCATGCCACGGCTCTCACTACGACATCTCTGGTAGGATTCGCAAGGGACCTGCACCATACAATCTGGAGGTGCCTACTTACACTTTCTTGGAGGAGAACAAGCTGCTTATTGGTTGAAAAGTTAGGGCAAACTTTGTACCCCCACACAGCAGCGAAAGCTGCTGGACCTTAGATTTGATTTTGACGAAGACTTCCTTTGAATTTCTTGTTTCTTGGCCTACAGAGTTCAGTACCCGTGGATTTGTATTTATACATCAGCCATGAACAGTGCACGCCGTTTTGAATAATGCAGCTGGCCAATTTTTAAATTCTTTCTCAGATTTTGGAACCATGTTTGTAATAATTTGAAACTTTCTATAACAATGAATTATATAGAACTTTCCTGTACTGCAAGTCTGCAATGTGGTTTTTCTCATTGCATGTCCCAGTTCAATATAGTTGTTAATCATAGGTGATGAAAATTTTTATGTCTAGGGATTCAGATGTTTTTTACCGTTAAACTTGAAAAGATGTTTCCTTTTTTTTTTTTTTTTTTTTTGGGGAAAATTGGAAAAAATTTTCAATTGGGAAGTGAGTAGGGAGAGTAATCTGTTTAAGTAGTTCATAAACAAGAAAAGTAGTCTAACCACAGTAGCAACATATTCGGGAGTCGTGAGTCGTGACTAGTGACAGAGTTCAAAGATCCCAATATCATCTAATTTGGCATAAAAGTAATGGTATACATTATACTAGCAGGCTGATCATCACATATTTGGTTGATGAACTATGCCATGCCCTTGAACACTAGGCTTCTAAAAGCTCTTCTAAAGTAGATATCAATATTAATAGGTATCAAAAGGGCCATTCAAGGTATGATGAGTTCAGTCATCCGCGATAGCGTCGTAGCCATAGAAGGTAAGGCTTGTGGAGAAGAAGCCATTGATGAAATTTGTTCCAATAGAAGGGTCATCATTTAGCAGTCATGAATAGGAACTAATGGTAGTTCGCCGCCATATACTTCTGGAAGTTGGCTCTCGTCAATGTCTTGAAGAAGGGTGGATTTCATTTTCTTGTTTTCGACAAAAATGATCTGCAAAGAGATGAGAACAAAAAGAATAAATGATTGTTTATATTTAACCAATAAAGATCTCTTGGTGGTTATAACTTATAATAGAAGAGTTGGGATTAAGTCTTAGTTGAGTTTGTGGGTTGAAAAGTGCTGGCAGGGATGATCATAATTCAATCATAGAGGCTACATATTATCCAACAAGGCTGCAAGCATCTAATTATGTTTGAATTAATGCAGAGTAATCATAACAAAATGATTTTAGTCCCTGGATTTCTAGCACTGGTAATAGAAATTCACCTTTTTCTTTGTTCTGCTATCAATAAATGGGTAAATGACCTTCCATGCAGTCATGAATATGTAAGGCACATGAACTATGAACAACTTGCCTAGCCTCTCAGGATAGCAATCCTGCAGTTGTCACAACGAGAAACAAACACAAGTCTTCAGACTCATTCCACATTTGTTTGAGTATAACATTTTCGGTTCCTTTCATAGTATGAAGGAAAGACCAACCTGCAAAATTGATAGAGCTGCTAAGTATCCCCGTATGTCACTGTTAGCATACCCCCATCCTTCCAGGTCTGCTATGCTTACAAACTTCTCCTGCCCGTCTGGCATTCTGCGAGAATCAGCAAAAGAATTCAGAGTTCATTACAAAAAAAAAACCTTCAAAAGTGAAAATGGGAGAGACAGAGGCAAGTAAATGACTCCATTTTACCTAGAAGATATTGTTTCAAGTGAAAACGTGACAAAGCCTGCCATAAAAATAAAGAAGATGAGCTCAGTATGAAGCAGACGATTAGCGAATATATTTGTTCTAGGAGAACTCAGAAGACAAACTATAAGCTCAACATAACGAATTCAGAATCAGGAGTGCATACGCTTAAACTCATCTAAAGTTGTTTGCTTATGGCGGCCGCCATACACAACAACTATAGGACGCCCTAGCTTGTCATTCCCCTGCATAAACATCTTGTTATGGGCAATGTCATTTGGAATTTCAGATGGAGATATGAAGCCTTTGGGCACAAATTCTCTCCTCCAGCTCAAGTACTTGAGAAACATTGCAGAAGCCTTTTCAACATCCAGATCCCTAGCTCGTAAAAATCTCCGAATCATCAAGTCATCCGCATCCTGCACTTCATCAACACGCAAGGCTGATCAGATCAGGCTTTCAAGTTTCAATGCATCTGATAACCTCAATCAGTTACCAAGCAATAGCAAATCAAGTTCGGATCAAGAGAAATTATGATCACTAAACTAGACAACTGAAATGAAGGATTGAACAAATTTGTGCAAAAAATGAACGGAGCAGTAATTAGCAAGAAAAAACGGAGTGACCTTAGCGGAAGGATCTTCCCGTTGAACAACAGCTCTCATGATTCCGATCTTACTGCGCTCTACCTCTTCCTTCTCGGCGCAATTTCCGCGACTGCTCTCCACGTCCGAAGCTTCCGAGTCGTGGTCGCTGTAAGGAATCTCATCGGCGGATTCAGGCTGAGGCGAAGCCTTGTTCTCCTTCTTCCCTTTCTCCGCTGAGGAACCAAATGTACTCGAGAACGTCTTTCGCAAATAGGACGTCATTGTCGATTCCTGCTCCCTTCTTCCTCAGCTCCTCCTTCCAAACAAACAGATTACAGATCCTTCCTTCTTCTTCTTCTCTCTCTCTCAAAATCTGTGATGGAGAAGCAGGAAGAAATGAAGAGCAGGAAGTTATGGCTATGGCAGATGGGGAACGATAACCATACTTGTAATTTTCAGTTTGTTGTTGGGTAGTTGATACCAGTAGTTGTACGTATTTGACTGGGTGAAGCAGTAGTTTACACTCTAATTATTTTATTTTATTTTTCCAGTTTCAAAGTCCTTAAGACTTAACTAATTTTCTAATCCCACAGGTACACCTATGACCTATACTATTCAAACAAGGTGTCCCACTTCCAAATCTGCCGTCACACGCGTGACACGAGGACTTTATAATTTTTTTTTGAGTTCTACTACATGAACTCCCAAATTCTACTCCCTCATTTGTACTCCCTGATGTGGCAAGTCTGGATTGGTTGTTTTCAACATGTGGGTCCACAGAAAAATGTCTACATCAATAACATGTGAGAGGGAGTACAAATTGGGAGTATAAAATGGAAGTACACCAAGTATTTTTCTTTTTTTTTTTTTTTCTTTTAAACAGGACTTTATAAATTTATTATTCCATTAATTTCTGTTTCCCGTCCCATCACACTGATCATATCATTGCTACCCCTCTGGCCATATCAGGATGTTTGATTGGACTTCCATTTGGAAGATTATGAGTTCAAGCCTCAGTGGAGGCGTTATTGGTTCTTTGTGTTTCAGTAGATTGAGAAAGTATATGAACAGATACTACAATGTAATAGAGCCAGTAGCTTTCAAAAAAAGAATTGTAATTCAGTGAATATCATAATTACATTGTTTGGTTGGAGGAAATTGTAATTTTTTTTTTTTTGTTGAATTACAATTCAATGCTTGTGTGGAAGAGAAAATTTGAAGAAATGACAAAATTATTCTTGATGGACCTTATTATTATTATTACACAAGGATATGTTAGTCTTTATGTCACTTTTTCCTTCTTATTCCTAATAATTCTATTACTCTCTACCAAACAATGTAATTTGAATTCCCACATTATTCCTACCTTATTATTTTCCCAATGAATTACATTCCTTCCTTCTAACCAAACACCCCATAATTGTTTGTCACATTTACTTTTTACACGATTTTTAATATAACAGAATAAGTATTTTAATTTTTTTTTTTTTATTTTGCCCTTTAAAACGAGATGTCATTTGTACAAAAATATAACTGAACTTACTCCATTAATTGTCAAAATTTTAAAAAGTCAAAAATGGTAAATTGAAAAATGTAGAATGATAGTTATGTTCAATTTGGAAAAATGATATTATTTTGAGATAAATTAAAAAGGAAAATAAGACATGTAAAATGAGACGGAGATAATTTTTTTTTTTTAAGTGATAAAATGTAATTGAATTCTCACTGTTGGATTTTGAAATCTCTGGTTAAATTTGTATTTTTAAATTATTGTATGAACTCTTTTAGATGAATTAAACTATTTTTCATTAATCTCTCTCCCAATGAGGTATTGTTATGTATAATTTTTTTTTATATTTAATTATTAAGCGGATTTTTTTTATAACATTGCTTATTTGGTTAATTCATAATGGAGGCAGTCAAGAATACAATATAATGAGTTTTTTTTTTTTTTTTTTTTTTTTTAACGTGTACAATATTAGGTAATGATTATTAGATTTTGATTTTAATAAAGGTAATGACATTTTTCTTGTATGATGTATATATTGATGATATGATTAACTTTTGAATATAACAAGTAGTTTAATGTCAAGTCTATGGATTACTTTTTGAGGATGGAAAAAAAAAATGCTACACCTCATACTAAAATCACCACATAATATTTACTACCTAACATACATACATATATATAAAGTTTGATGACAGCATCTTCCTATACAAACAGATTTGGATCATTGGATGAGCTCAAATCAACAACTGAAAATCAATAAATAGAAAAAAATATGATGGCATCTTGATAATATCAATTTGATATGCTGATATATTTAGATATATTTGATGGTAATTTGTAAACAGGTTGACATAATAGACACACTTAGTTAACAATTTTTGTATCTACACCATTAAAAACTTGTTAAAATTTTAATTTTTTAACATTAAAATAACAAATTAGTAACAATATTTAATTTATAACATACCATAATATTCATAAAATGACAAAATAATATATAGAGTTTTCAACCAATGGTGGTTTTTACATTTTTAAAATTTAGTCAATTTGATTCCTGGAATGATTTAATTGATGAAATTTTAAATAATTTGAAAATTAAATTAGTTGAAATTGAAAACTATGAACTACATTAATGGCCCGTTTGGTTCACGGAATCAATTTGGAGGGAATATGAATGCTATTTCACAGGGAATAGAATAGGTAAAGAATATAATAGGAATTGTATTCTGTTGTTTGGTTTGGAATAAACATTGGGAATTCTATTCCAACGTTTGGTTGGTTAAGGAATAGTAATGAAATATATGTTTAAGGTAGTTGGGAAACAATTAAGGTAGTTATAATTTAGTAATTGAAAAATTGCGCTTTTGACCCCTCAATTATTTTACTTTTGAAAATTCAATCCCTGTCAATTGAATGCTAGCCCTCATGTTATATATATATATATATATATATATATATATATATATATATATATTTGAATGCTACTGACTCTATTACATTGCATATCTGTTCAAACAAACTTTCTCAACTTAATGAAGCACAAAAAGTCAACAACACTTCCACTGAGGCTCGATCTCATAACCTCCTATATGGGAGAAGTCACTACATGCCATATGATAAATTTAACTTTCTTTTTCTTTTTTCAACCATTTCTTACACTTTCTCTTGATAAATTTGGAAGTAGGAAAAGAAAGTTAAATGGTTGAAAGGATTGGACCATTATAACTTCATGAAAAATAAATTATTAAAAATAATTTTAATTATATAATAGGAGGGACCAAAGGTAGCACATTATGAACAATTAAAAGATTTTTTTTTGGTATATCTAGGATTTTCACCGTCGAACACAGTGACTAATTGCTTCTCGTGATTGTAGGCACATCTTTTGGGTAGGGCTGTTAACGAACCGAACATAAACGAACGGAGGTTGTTCGTGTTCGTTTGTTAAGGAATTTGGAGTGTTCGTGTTCGTGTTCGTTTGTTAAGGTTTTTGAAAATCCTGTTCGTGTTCGTTTGTTAAGTGTTCGTTAGTGTTTGTTAACGTTCGCGAACATGTTCACGAACGTGTTCGTTAATGTTAACGAACATGTTCGCGAACGTGTTTGTTAACATTCGTGAACACGTTCGCAAACGTGTTCGTTAACATTAACAAACACGTTCACAAACATGTTCATTAACAAGCACGTTCACGAACATATTCATTTACGTTCACGAATACTTAATAAACAAACACCTGCACATGTTCATGATCACAATTCGTAATCGAACAATAAATAATATACGTTCACGAACAATAATCAAACAAACAATACAACTACAAAACTAATATAATATAATATATGTTTGTGAACATGTTCGCGAACATTATTAAACGAACACAAACGAGTTTGTTCACGAACATTATTAAACGAACATAAACGAGCTTGTTCACGAACATTAGTAAACGAACACAAACGAACTTGTTCACGATCTCTTAGCAAACGAGCTTACAACTGTTCAAGCTCTGTTCGTTTATTAACCGAGCTCTAAATTTTGTTTGTTAATGTTTGTTTACCTTAACAAACGAACATAAACGAACGCTTACCGAACACGAACACGAGTAGTTTGCGGAAAGCTCTGTTCGCTAACACCCCTACTTTTGGGTGGGACAACTAGTCTGGAGATTTAAGGTTCCTCCATTCCCAAAGCCAATGATTGAACCATTGACCTTTGATTAAGGATGAATGAGTCCCTTCTACTTAATCATACTCCTGAGTTATTAAAAGATTATATTTAATTAGATTTATTTAAATTAATTGACAAGGCTAAATTTTTAAAAGTAAAATAATTGAGAGCCAAACACGTCCATTACATTTTATCACATCTTCAATCCCTTTGACGTTCACAGATCTGACTTTCGCAATTTTTGAGAAATATCCCATATTTGGCAATGACTTTTAGCCTGGATTATGTGGTGATCAATAAATTCAACAGTTTGCCAATTTATCCAAGTATAACACATTTATCGAAAAAATAAGAATAAAATTGATCAATTTAGTAACCACAAAGTTTCAAGTTCGATCAATTCTTTACGAGAGTTGTCTATTAATTTTTGTGTTTAAATCGATCAGTCATTTATGATTAACTTAGACTTTGTTTATCTCATTTGATTAACTTGAATTGATTTACCTTATTGTGGTAAATAAAAATAAAAAATAAAAAATTAACAGATGTCTCGACTCCTTCTTCTCAAGGAATCCTTATTATTATTATTATTATTATTATTATTATTATTATTATTATTAAGGAGTATTATTTTGTATCATTTTTCTTTTTATCAAAGTTCTTTAAAAAGGAAAAGAACTAACACAGAGACAATAAAATAAAAGATTTGTATTTCATTTTAAATCTTCGATTATAATAACATTTTACTTTTAATCATTGATTTTCACTTTTAACTTCTGAGTTTGAAATAAAATGTTCAACTTCTTGTTCAAAATATCTAAATGTTCTTAAATCTTAAATATAGTTTGGCAAAGTTTGACAAAGTTTGTTAATAAGAAGAGAGACATCCCACGTCACTTGAGAATAATTGAATTATTATTATTACTATTACTATTATTGGCAAATAAACTCTTTTTGTGGGGAAAATTTCGGGATAACTCAGGTTTGATTTCCACAAGTGATGAGTCCCCTTGAACCAGTTCTCAGACCTCACGAAGCGAACAAGAATGGACCCGGACCAACTCATGGTTTACAAAAAAAATATTTATATTAGTGTTTTGGTTAAATTAAACCATTATAATAGTTAAATTCTTTAATCTTTTAATCAAAATTTCATTTACTAACAAGTCGAATATTTAATATTTTGTCACACAGGAGTGAAAGGTGCTAGAAAAATAGTTAAAATTAGCATTTAAAGTAATTTTTTGTGGTGTAATTTTCGATGGGGTTCACTTCTTCTAAGTGAAATGTTTAATCTGATATATTATACGTTTAAAATAGATAATGAGTGAATGTAAAATTGATTTCGTTTTGTGGAAAGCTTTGTACCTAATTAAAAAATGAATATGAGTGCACTAATATATATATATATATATATATATATATATATATATATATATATATTCAATTTTACTTTTTAAGGAGTTTGAATTGTATAATATAGAGGTTTCCTCTCTCCCGTTTGCAAATCAAATCCTAAAACTTGCTGTGAATTTCATTTATCAACAAAAGCTAGCCTCGTTCTTTAAGTATCTTGTGACAATTAAATCTGCCACTGAAATATAATTAAGTGGAAGAAAAATTCAGCGAGGAAATTAGTCACTATGTTTAATGGTGAAAACTCTGAAGTCTGAACTACATAAAAAAATCTTGTGACAATCAACTTTTTGTCACACAAAATATCAAAATTATACTCGTAATTTTTAAGTAGGATATATTTCATGCAGAGTGCCACTCCTTTCTGGGCTGCCCACTCCTTCTTGATACCATAACTCGGATACATATTCCCAAGAAGCTATTGTTGTGGGACCTTTGAGGCTTTGATTGTGATAGCCAAGTTGCAAAAGCCCACAAATAGGAAAAATAGTTGTTATAAATGACATATATAGAAGTATTAGGGGGAAAATGTTGTTGTAAATCAGAAAGGAAAATCTGTGCATGTTTGGTGATAATAATGGTGTATAAATTACAAAATGAATTGAAACATCTTTGTCGCACCGTTCAATCAATGCTATAATATTTAGCAATGAGAACAAAAAGGAAGTATAGATTTCACCTTATTGTAAGAACTAATATATAAGCATTAAGGGATATTTTAAAATCATATAAGTCAGTTGAAACATATTCTACGATTTAACTTCTCCCTTCACTATTACATTGTAGTATCTGTTCATGTAATAGGGCCGTAACATTCAAAAAAAAAAAAAAAAAAAAAAAAAAAACCTTCTCCCTTCACTAATCTTTAAGGTAGGAGTGACTCTTAAGTTTGGATTTAAACTTGTAATACTGAGTAAAGAAGTCAAATACGGCGGTCATATATTTTAAGAATTGATATTTGAGTTATTAAGGGCTTAACTCCCATGAGAATAAGACTTCATGTGAGAAGTGTGGATAAATGCTAGTCATTAACTTGGTGGATCTAACAATTGAAAAATAAAGAAAAAATGGTAAGATCAATTTTATAAGTATATAAACTTTAAATGTTTATATGTTTATAAAACTTACCCGCCTATTTTTTTTTTTTTTTTTTTTAGTCATTGATCATTTTTTTTTTTTTAAAACAACTATTGGTCATCTTAGATAAATCCTTATCAATCGATATTTATACTATTGACCAAGGTTCACCATGCATTGTGGATTCAGGTTAAAAAATTATGTGGCTAAAGTTAATAAATTATGTACTGTAGGCACATAATATGGTGGGCGATTGTCGTATGTATGTGGGCTGAAATTGATTGGCCAAATTGTTATTTGACTCCTATTAATTTGGGTAATTGACAGTGCGTCTTGTTAATTTTTAATCTTGGATTGGTGCTGAAATTATTATCTTGTGTCTCATGACAACACAATTTTGGATTGAATTTTCATGATTGAAACTTGGTTAAATTCTGGGATGAAACTATTTGAGTTGATGGAAATTAATTGGAGTGTAGTTGGACTGTGGCCCATCATCTACAATTTTTGAATGCATTTATTTTGGGCTAAAACCATATTCACCTCTTTGTGGGTCTCATGGCAGTAATTTTGTAGGTTGACTTTCATTGCGCAAATTATACACTGGAAACGTGTTCACCGTGAATGGTGAACACAAGTCCAAACGACGTCGTTTTTATCTAAAAAAAAAAAAACGCGGATGTGAAATTAACGGCGCGCGTTTGATCAAATTATGAATTTTCTGTTATGAGATTATGAATGTAATGAAAATTCATAATCTCATAATAGAAAATTCATAATCGCATAAAAGTAAAATATTTATTAAATTATGAATTTTCTGTTATGAGATTATGAATGTAATGTAGATTCATAATCTCATAACAGAAAATTCATAATTTCATAACAGGAAATTCATAATTTCATAACAAGAAATTCATAATCTCATAACAGGAAATTCATAATCTCATAACTGAAAATTCATAATCTCATAACTGAAAATTCATAATCTTATAACAGAAAATTCATAATCTCATGGTTCCAAAGGGAATGTGCAGGCATGGATTCATAATTTATGAATGTCCGTGATTTCGGACGGGAATGTGTAGGCATAGTTCCAAAGTGAATGTGCAGGCATGAATTCATAATTTATGAATGTCCGAAATTATTGCTCATCTTAAATTAAAGTGAAACCGCGAAATGTGAAAATGAAGAAGAAAAGTCACGCAATTAAAAAAAAAAAGAAAAAAAAAAAAAGAAAAAAGATAACGGTGTACTAACATCGTTGAAACCGTGTTCATCATGAATGGTGAACATGGTTCCTTGGCATAACGATTGCTTTCATTGTGGATGTGCTTGTGTTTTGAGTTGATGGAGTTTCTCTTGATTTTTTCATTCTGAGTTCAAATTTTGTTCAGTGATTTGGGCTGATGTTAGCTGATTTGGACTCCCTCTACATTGACCTTCTTAACGGACCAAAGAATAAAGTTCGTTAAGCCTTAATTCAATTCTGAAAATACAACAGTTCTTGGAGGGTCAAGCAGCCTAAAGATTACATTTAGCGGCCCGGATTCATGGGAGGGAGCAAATTATGTTTTGGAACCGTGTTCACCTTGGTTCTAAATTGTTCATAATTATGAATATATAGTTTAAAATTTATGAATATAGAGATTCAATAATTGTGAATATGAAGCTAAAAAGTTATGAATATATAACTTTATAATTATGAACGTATAGTTCAGTAATTATGAACATAGAGTCCTGTAATTGTGAATATAAAGTTCAATAATTGTAAATAGAAAGTTCAATAATTATTAATATATAGCTTTATAATTATAAACATATAGTTCAGTAACTATGAAAATAGAACCGTGTTCACCTTCCAAGGTGGACACGGTTCCACATCATAACGATTGCTGGGAGGGGAATTCCCATCGGCAAATTATGCTGTGCACTCGTATGCACCATGCATGCATGGTGCATACGGATGCAAAAACAACGTCGTTTTGCATCAAAACGCGCGTCCTACTTTAAAAAAAATCAGTTTCGATTCTCAGCAACAACATTATGTTATTTATTTTTTAGTTCATTCATTCTGGATGTGTAGTTATGCAATTCTGGATGTGTAGTTATGAAGTTATGGATGTGTAGTTATGCAATTTTGGATTTATAGTTATGAAGTTATGGATGTGTAGTTATGCAATTCTGGATGTATAATTATGAACTTATGGATGTGTAGTTATGCAATTCTGGATTTATAGTTATCAAATTATGGATGTGTAGTTATGTAATTCTGGATGTATAGTTATGAAATTATGGATGTGCAGTTATACAATTTAATTTATTTTTTTTTTAAAGTTAAACGTCAAAACGAGCCCGTTTTTGCATCTGTATGCACCATGCATGGTGTATACGGATGCACAGCATAACGATTGATTCCCATCCTACTTGGTCAAATTCCAACTTCATAGACTTGGCCCAATATTTTCTTAATGTTTTTTTTTTTTTTTTTGAGTTTAGTTTTAAATTTCATTTTTATCATAAAATAGGAGGAAATGAATAAATAGACATTTAAACTTCATACAAAAAATAAATAAGTCATATACTTTGAAAAGTTGAAATTAAAATTTTTTTTTTTCATTTTTGTATATTTAGACCCAATAACAGGTGAACCCACTAGTAAATATCAATAATTAAAGTTTTAACAATCAAAATTGGCGACAGGCAAACGGTCACCTTCATCACTGAAGAAAGAAAAAAAAAAGAAGAAGGCGACTTATGGTTTTCTTCTTTAATAATAAGGGCAATTGGAACCCTTAATATCAGTTTTTAGGGGTACGTATTTAATAATTGTAACTTTTTAAAATTCATGTACCTAATTACTTTTTCATATCAAATTTAAGGGTCTATTTTCACTAAAAATAATTATTTTCATTCTCAAGTGATATTATGAGTATTAAATTTTTAGATTTTCTACAATGCTAATTATATAAGGTACTATTGTTGATCGCATCCAACCCGATACTACATACATTAGCCTACAGAAGATCTTTCAAACACTTCGGGGTGATTCAACCTCCATTTAAATTTTATACAATTTAGTGCAATATTATCAAATTAATATGTAATAAGATCGTACAATTTACAAACAGTCATCAATTAGTATATAATATCAATGTTAAGTGTTACGTTGTTGCACTAATCATGCTACCAATCCAAATTGAATTGTATAGTTCAAATATGGTAAGGGGTGTTTGATTCAAGTTATCTTATCTCACATAACGAACACGAGTTATGCAATATTAAAAAAAAAAAAAAACTTAATTACCTAATATTAGATAGATGAAGTAATAAATAATTAACATAAGAGTCAAGCAAGTCCATATAACCGTACCGGAAGTATTCAACACATGATCTAAAAGCAACACTACAATTATAACGAAATTAAATCTACTAATTCAAACACCCCTAATACTAGGCACATCTCGATTTTGCCTTGGGTGACAACCTTGTGTAACTTATTGTTGGCTCCCACTATTTTTCTTCCTCTCCTTCTCCTCCTCCTCCTCTCCAAAGAGTTGCGAACGGTACTACTTCTTTTGGGCATCTTGATTTTGCCTTGGGCAACGATACCCTGTGTAACTTATCATTGGCTCACACCATTCTTCTTCCTCTTCTTCTTCTTCTCCTTCTTCTTCTTCTTCTTCTTCCCCAAGAGTTGTGAATGGCACTGCTTCTTCTTGGGCATCTCGATTTCGCCTTGGCCGACGAGACCCTGTATAACTTATTATTGGCTCGCACCATTCTTCTTCTTCCTCCTCCAATTTCAATTCCACTTCCTCTGCATTGCATTTATACATATTGAGACTAGTGTATAACCAAAAAAAATAAAAAAAATAGAAGCAACGTAACATGCATTTTAGGGTTTACGAAAACAATACAATAACAACATGAACCTGGATGCTCTTCTATAATATACTTGTAGAGGTTATTGCCTTGAATTTTGTCGGGAGGTACCGAATAATTCTCCATGAAGTGTACACGGAGCTCCTCTTCCTCAGAGGGAGATAACCACCGATCACGGCTGAGATTCCTGAGAAAATAATTCAAAAGTTCTTCGTCAAAATTAATTTTTTTGTGAACAACAATTGTAGTGTTGTCGTCGGAGTTCGCCCCAACACGATTTCTGGGAGTAGAGGATGATGATGAGGCAGCATAGGGCTCCAGAATCTCCTCCATTGTTAGAGGCTTAGAGAAAGAAATTAAAGAAGATTGTTTGAGAGGGCGAGGATAGCTAGTAGATCAGATCAGAACAGAATTGAATTCCGATCCTCCGCTGCGCTGCAATATATATAGGTTATCGATGTATTTATATAAATACAAAGAGTCATAAGCAGAATAGGAATAGAAATACATATAAAAGGTAGATTCACAATCACATAAGGATATAGAAAAAGAATCCTACTTTCTTATATAGAAGAGTTATCTGGTGCCACTAAATTACAAATCATTGACTATATTATATTTTACTTATTTATTTATAAATTTTTTTTTGTATCCCAGTCAATATAAAAGTTTAAAAGGTCTAGGCTCAGTATACATATTCTCGGATATATATGCTAATAAAAAATAAATATAAATAACGTTCAGAATAATTTTTAGTCTATATAAATCATTTTAATTTAATGTATTAATTGCATAAACACAATAATTTTTTAAGTCAAATCTATTATCAACCGTTTTATACAATAAAGTTTAATTTGAATATTCAGAACTCATTGGCAATGGATCTGGCAACTATCTCGACACCACTTTAGTTCCTTTTTTATTTTTTTAAATACTATTAACTCTATTATAAGGTAGTATCTGTTCTATATTTTTTCTATCTATTGCATTTCAGAGACCCTATCACCGAGATTCAATCTTATGACATTCCCTTACGCCCTCACGGGGAGCCACACAACATATCAAAATGAAAATTTAATTTTGTCATTGTATTTCCTTTCCTTTTTATATGATTCCTGCTAAGGACTCCACTTCTAAAGAAAATGACACGCTGTCCGTAACTCCTAATCAACTCACCAACTTCCTTATTATAATAATAATAATATATATATATATATATATATATATATATATATATATATTTAAAAAATAATTAAGACACAGAAACTGGTGAAATCGTGCTTAATTTTTTGCCAAGGTCATTATTCACCAACCTACCTTAGCTTCCTACAAGAATTTGACCCACAATGTCAAGAAAAAAAAATGACTAAATTGGTAGAATATGATTTTGATTCTTATACTTGAAAGTCATAAATTCAATTATTGTTAATATTATTTTTGTTGAATTTGATACAGAGGAAGTGCAATTTATCTTTCATGTGTGATTTGTAAATTATTACACATGAACATAATGTATCTAATGTGCACATTCAAGTATTTAACTAGTAATCATTGGTTTCTCTCGTCACAACAAAATAAAAAATAAAAAACTGACCCACAACAAACACATCAAAACTTAATCGACTCTCTAATCTTGCAGATTCCAACCAACTTGATAACTGAGAAACTAAATATGAAAATCTCATAATAATTAAGTGATTGAGCCAAATAATTCATCATAAATAAGGGGCTTAAAGTGTCATTTTTCATAAATATTTTTTATAATTGTGTACAATATTTATATTTCACTAAAGTATGACTAATTCGGCCTCGATTCGGGTCATGTTTGTAATGCTTGACTCTTACTTTAAAAAAAAAAAAAAGTCTAAATTGTGACAAGATATCAAAAAATATTATTACTATAGTCAATAGTAAATGCTCTTTAGTATTTTAATATTTTAATATTTAAGTTAATTATACCTTTCTTTTTTTAAAATATTACAATATTCAAATATAGACACAAATTGAATTATTAGTAAATATTACCCATTTTGACAAATCAAATTCAGGTGATTCATTGTATTTTGATGAATAGTACACAAAGAGACACCTACATACAAATGGTGTTAAATGCACATTACAAATTTGATGATTGTGGGAGACAATTTAAGGTAACAAGACACACCAATGATTATCAATTCTTAAACTAACGATGAACATCCTAATTATATTGATTCTCAATTAGCACAAGAACTAAGTGCGTCGCCTGTCAAAATCAAGAACCCACCAGAAAATCTCCTTCCATCCTCCTAATGTCAACGTTTCTCTTTCTTTCCTTCCATACCCACTCCCAAATATAGATGAAAAATAGAGAATTCCAATTATTAACCTTTCAAATCTGATTATCATTAGAGCAGTCTATTAACCATTTTGGTTTGAATTAGTTCGTTATAAATAAATTAAACAGATTTATTTTGATCTTATTGATTTGAACCAATTAGTTATAGACAACCTAAACTGATTTACCTGATCTAACTGTTAGAAATATAGTTTAAAAATAAACAATTTCAATTATTAACCTTTTAAATTCGATTATCTTAGAGAACAGTCTATTAGCCATTTTAGTTGAGTTAGTTCGTTATAAGCAATATAAACTGGTTTATCTTGACTTTATTGATTTGAGCTAATTAGTTATGAACAGACTGATTTACCTTGGTCTAATTACATTATTATTATTTGTCGACTGGGATCATAAGACTGATATTGAAAAAAAAAAATTTGATGAAAAAAAGAATGTGAGTTGTATAATGCCAACTAAACTTAGAATAGGAACTTCCCACCAACATTTTCCCGCGACCTCTCAACTGCATGCGTATGCATTTCCCTTATAAGTAATTCTCCGTTTCTCCCCTTCAATCCCAGCCTGATCGCCGTTGTTTCTGTGAGGGCATTCTTGCTGTGAAGTGGGAAAATATGAGGGATTTTAGGTGGGTGACTGGGTTGCCTGTCTTTAGCTTCCTGCTTCTCTTCATTCTTCAGCACCCAGAGACTAAGATTTGTGCTTCTGCGGCTGCGCGTACCGAGAGGATCGCAGGTATGGTGCTCTGGGTTTTTAATGCTTTTCTTAGATTTCGCTAGGTTTAATTTATCTCTCGTTTGCTTGTTCAGTTCTTAGGTTTATACTGGAATCTTGGGTTCTTCTTCTTTCACTGCAAAATGTCCCAATAAAACATCTTTATGGAGGGTTTTGATTTTTCCCCAAGTTGTTCATTATTTGTTACATATTGTGGTGACTATTAGTAGTTGCAGAATATTGTTATTGTTGGAAATTTTAGCAAAAATGGCATTGTAAATGGCTAGTTTGTGGTACAAATATCAGTAGGGTTCACCTTCAATTTGGGTCGATTTAGAAGAAATTGATATATTGTACGGCCAAAACGGATAATGGATGAATGAAAAGTTGATTCTCAAAATATACCCATTTGTGTTGGAGAAATGGTTATGGGAAGGCTTGAATCTGTTCTTCAAATAGGGAGATGAAAATGTTGTGCTCCTTGCTCAATCTGTGTATGTGACTGATAGATTGTCTCTTGTATATGCTACTGGATATAATATAAATTATGTATTCTAAGATCCTACATTATTGATCTTGTCTTCTCAGAATCGGACATTTTAATCCTATAGAGAGTGACCCTTTAGGTATTTGGGGATTTAAGAGTGTAGTCGTTTTGCAGACAGCCTCTTATTAATCGAAGGATTGATACGATGAGAATGATGATCTTCCTTCCTATCTTTTTAGACTTGTAGTTCATATTTCATAGTAAAATGGTGTTTACAATTGTTTGGTTTTGTGTATAAAATCCTTAGCTTCAATGTCCAGTCAAGATGTGTCTTCTTTTGTCTGCTATTTGCCCGAATTTATAGACTATTCTATTTTCCTCTTTTCCATTGATCCAAAAGTTAACGGAACTTATTATATGCCCGAAGTCATGTTTCTTCTTGAATCCATGTTGCTACTTGATATCGTTTGAGTATCAGTTCTGTATGGAATCATGGTGATGTGTTTATATAAACTCGGGTTCCTATAAATTTAGGGAGCGCTGGAGATGTCCTTGAAGACAATCCCGTCGGGAGACTAAAAGTTTTTGTATACGAGCTTCCCAGCAAGTATAACAAAAAGCTCCTACAAAAGGATCCAAGATGCCTGTCCCATATGTTTGCTGCTGAAATCTACATGCACCGTTTCCTTCTATCCAGCCCCGTTAGAACTCTGAACCCCGAAGAAGCTGATTGGTTCTATACCCCCGTGTATCCTACCTGTGACCTCACGCCAAATGGCTTGCCACTGCCCTTCAAATCTCCGAGGGTCATGAGGAGTGCAGTACAGCTTATCTCTGCGAAATGGCCATATTGGAATCGAACAGAAGGAGCTGATCATTTCTTTCTAGTTCCCCACGATTTTGGGGCTTGTTTCCATTACCAAGTAAGTGAATTTTTCTGTAATGACTATCTATCATACTTATATTACCCTTTCGCTACGAGCTATGTATATATATGACATTGCTTTTATTTTTCTCATGCAGGAAGAGAAAGCTATCGAGAGAGGTATTCTCCCATTGCTTCAGCGTGCTACTTTGGTTCAAACTTTTGGACAACGAAACCATGTTTGCTTGAGTGAACGTTCAATCACGATACCTCCATATGCCCCGCCTCAGAAGATGCAGACTCACTTGATTACCCCCGACACTCCAAGATCCATCTTCGTCTACTTTCGTGGTTTGTTTTATGATGTGAACAATGACCCCGAGGGAGGCTATTATGCAAGGTACTCACGTTTACCATCATGATAGTTCATAACTCGAACGTCTGATTAGCATAATGGGTTATGAGTAATGCTAGACACCCCTCTACTTTTCACAACATTTCTTTACCATGAGTTGAGAAAAGCTAAATCATTCTTTCCCCAACGAAAATGCTTTGACTATTCGACATTGTTTCATTTAGTGGGCCCCGCCAAGACCTTGTGGTCTAGTAGCACGAAGTGGCTCTCCCAAATGGAAGGTCATGGGTTCGAGCCTCAGTGGAGGCGGTATTGACTCTTTGTCTGTTCAGAAAGTAGCTATGAACAGATACTACATTGTAACAAAGGGAAAGAAGCATTTCCCAATTGGTTAAAAAGTCCACATTACTTAATTTTGTTTTTGATGTGCAGAGGGGCAAGGGCATCAATCTGGGAAAACTTCAAGAACAACCCACTCTTCGACATCTCAACCGACCACCCAACAACCTATTACGAAGACATGCAACGTTCCATCTTCTGCTTGTGCCCGCTGGGGTGGGCTCCGTGGAGTCCCAGGCTGGTGGAAAGCGTGGTGTTTGGGTGCATCCCCGTGATTATAGCAGACGACAT